CCCCCCCCCCCCATAAACCCACCATGACTGCCTTAGTGCTAATTAAACAGTGCAATCTTGAATGGTCTTTGCCAGGCTAGACAGAGACGATAACAAGATAACTGCAGATTTCGAGGGATATAACTACCTGAAAAATTCAAGCAGAACTACACTCAAAAAGTCGATAATTTGTACATTCCGCATGGATGTTCACGCTCTGTGGATTATTGAATATAAACCAGGCTATTATTACAATTTTCAAAATTGAAGTTGAAACTATATTAACAAAAGTTCAGTGTCAAAAATTTCTTATCTTGTCCAATTCTATTTTTTACTTTTAAAGCATAATTCAGTGAATTAAATCACTGAAACATACAGATATTAATATACATTAACTTAAGTCTTTATAACTATGTTTGAGAAAAATTCTGTTATAAAATCTTTTTCCAGATAAAGAGTAAGATAACTAACATTTCACAATATAAGTTCTACCAACCAAAAAGAAGAAAAAACGTCAAAAAACAACAGTAGAAAATATAGAATATAAACTCATTAAACTCAAATCCCGCTCGAGCCAACGAATTTTTCGTTGCTCGATTGCAGTGTCAGATTAATATGAAACTAGTTTTTCCACTCCTTAGCTTGGCGACATATTGAATTTCGCGGCCGCGTCGGTAAAGGCCTGGGGACTAGGTGCTCTACCGTATCTGAAATAGCCTTCACCCCATTGCTTCATTCTCGTATCCAGAGCCCTTCTTACGCGCGGTGCGACGAGGGGCTCTGGCCAAATCCATATTCCGAACTGGCATCTGATTGGCTAGTTCTATAACACCGGACATTGTTTTTTTACCATGTTTTTATGGTATCCGGTTATGGATTTGGCCAGAGCCCCTCGTCGCACCGCGCGTAAGAAGGGCTCTGAGTACGAGAATACCCATTGCTTATATTTACATGGTGCTTCCACATGGTACTTCCACTTAGTACATAATTCCATAACACTTCATAATATAATATGCTAAATATCCTACATCCCTTTCTTTTTTCAATGTTTACGAGAGTTTTTCAAAAGTTCACTATAATATACTAAATTCTACCTATGTTTCTAAATTTTAGCTAACAATTCTAAATACAAACTGTCTGTCAAACGTTCGATTTTTGTAAGCTAAATGTTTATTTGATAACATAATCTCCATATCTTTTTGGCGCACGTCTGGTACGCACAAGTCTTGGGAATTTAACTGGCACACTTTCTGCTGTTTGGTTAGAGTCTCCATTTGACACATGTCCATCACGATCACCTTGCGATGATGTTTCCCCTGCAGATGATGCTTCTCTCTCCGTTTGCTGTAGAACACTTTCTTCTGGAGGTATTTCAGGTACTGTCGCTGATAGACTGCGAGCGGTCTCCTATCCGCGGGTTTAGATTTCCGGGCATGTGAAAGGAAAGGAGGGACTGCAGACAACACATCAAGAAATGAAATCCACGTTGCCCACACAACGCAAAATTCCCATTGGTCGAAATCGATACGCCTGTCAATCAATCATGTAGTAATTATGCTATAAATAATTTCCAGAGTGAATGTTGATTTTATACATGTGTCAAAATAAAGGTAATCGAACTTCAGCGCGCCATTGTATCTGAATTACTGCGTATAAACGAGATTTTTTCACCTTCGGAAAGATCAGGCTTTTAACTGTTGAATGATATGTTCTTCATGCCAAATGGATAAAAAATAAGCGAGTACGAGTCCGATAAAAAATGCTAGTCAGAATCGCATATTTTCACCGTTGTATTCGGTACTATTAAGTTGATGAATTTCACTTCAGTAAACTATACGAACATATTCATAATTATTATTAAGTAGGAATAAATCTTATCTAAGCTACGACAAGTTCGTGTGATTAATCGCTTTTTCTTTTGTTATGCACTGCTTTATTAAATTAGGCACAGAGGTGAAAATATGCTATTCTGACTAACATTTTTTATCGCACTCGTACTTGCTTATTTTTTCTCCACTTGGCATGAAAAACATGTCATTCAAAAGCTAAAAGTCTGATCTTTTCGAATATGAAAAAAAATTGTTCATACGCCGAGTAATTCAGGTACAATAGCGCGCTGAAGTTCGATTACC